GGACTGCCATTTTGAAGCCTCGAGTTCGGCAATTTCATTGTCGCCATCTTGGATTGCAGCTGTTGCCATGTTGCTTAGTTTTGCAACCAACAAACGGAAGTTACCATATTTGGAATGCAGAGGAGTGACGTAGAGATGCCGGATACTGCGCTGATAGCGGCAGCGACCTGTCAATCACAGTAAGCCCGCCCTAAAGCATACTCTGCTTTATGGCCTATTTGACTCTAAATGGACCATAATGTACTAAATGAACATCATGCTTATTGAAGAAGTCTTGAAAGTAGAGATTGAGACCATAGACGTATGTGTTGACACAATATTTATTTAGTCATTTTCTCATAGACTTCTATACAATCAGACAGCTGGAGGAGTTGCCCCCTGCTGGTGAGTAGAGAGAATGCAAGTTTTAAGACACTTCTGCACTGGTTTACACAACCTAAATCAGCTACTTTTGCTGCGTCGCATTTTTGTAACAGTGAAACCATTAGCGGTCTTAAAAATATGCGAGAACTTTACTGTAATGATGGATAGAACTGATGTCCAGAGCTACAACATCTAACCCAAATCTCTAATGAATCAGTTCTCAGCAGGTTTGAATAACTACAGGTGACTGAAGCTGCTTCCTGGAAAGATCCTGGTCACGGTATAAAGAAACCAAAGTGCAAATCACAGTCTCCTGGGGGCAATTTCCTGCCCAACCTCCTCACTTGGGAGGTTTTTCTCGGCTCTATAAGAACGTTATGCTACTCCCACCTTTGCTCATTAGAAAGGGAAGTCATTATTCGTGCGACCACAAGAGGTTACTTGTCAGCAAAACGTGGACACGGCTTGTTTTAAGTGTTCAGGCGGGGGACTGACTCATTCCTACAGCATTGGCTCACTAATATGTGTAAAATGTTAGATGTAACCAATGGCAATCATTTCTTACTTTAACCTGCGTTCGTTAACATTTCTTCAAGTTCACCCACTTATTTGTCGTCTTCTCCCGCTGCAGCTTATTTTATTTGATCGTTCATGTAAGTGATAACCTCAAATCGCCTCACGTTATGCCTCACTCATCCTTCTCCCTTTCCCCTCTCCTCCTCCTCCTCCTCCTCCTCTCCTCCCTGACTGCAGAGAGAGGAGGGTTTGGATGTATTATGTCTCCTTTTGTTCTTCGCTGTTGGCTCATTGTCAAATAAAAAAAGAAAAAAGTGGAAGAGGGCGGTTAGCGGGGGAGACGGAGGAAGAGAGGAGGTGAAGGACGAGTGGGTCCCGATATGACGTCCGTCCTGTTTGTAGGTAGATATCGGAGGCTTCACCCGCCTCTGCGAATCCCCCCACACCCCCGCGTCTCCCCTCTTTGTGCGCCCCTTATCTTTTATTTTCTCTCTCTCGAGCCAGGTGCTGCTTATCCAGCCTTCAGCACATCTCATCCATCCAGCTTTATCTCCCACACTGGCACCACGGAAACTCACATTTTGACGTGCGAACACACACATATTCCTTCTACCTGCTCCACTGCCCCCTCCGCCCAACCCTTTTCATATCTCCATCTTTCAATCCCTGACCTATCCCATCGCTGCTCCGGAGTCAGCCGCCGACACAGACAGATAGACAGACAGAGAGGTTGGGCAGACAGACAGGCTGCTCGGAGCTCATCGACTCCAGATCTGTATCTTAACTCCAGTCTTAGGGGGGGGGGCTTAATCCGGCTGCTTGTCTCCGGCGTAGCCAGCTACCACAGCAGCCGATAGCCACGACACACAAATCCATACAGCTCAAACTCTCCCGACTAGCTTTAGAGAGTCAAGTTTCTATAAAGTAGGCACTTTAGCCCCCCCTCATGTGTTTATTTTTTTGTATTATTTCGGAGGTGGCGCAGCACAAATTGATTTAAAAAGAACCATCCGTGCAAGCTGCATTGTTTTCTAAATCTGCGGAAAAACGAGACGCCTGTGTGGAGGTTTGGTTTCTGCATTGCTGTTTTAATACTGTATATATTCACTGCCTATAATTCCACTGGTAAAATCGCAGCTAATCTTTGAACTTTCTCTTCTTTTTGGAGTGCGAGTGTCAGTGTAGCTGCTGGCTGCAAAGGGAGGGAGGAAGGGAGGGAGTGTGGCGAGGCTGCCTGAGCCGGGCTCTCCATCCTGATTTAGAATTAGATCTATTTCTGTTCACCCTCCACCCCGCTGGGAAATATTTAAATCTGCCATGGAATGTGTGTATATGTATGTGTGTGTGTGTGTGTGTGTGTGTGTGTGAAAGAAAGAAAGAGAGAGAGAAAGAAGAAGTAAAAAGTTAAAGTAGAGATGATTTAAATATGTATATATAAAATATACATACATATACTGTATATATTGGCTTGTTGTTTGAGAATTTGCATTTGGTACACGACTTTGGCAGTGTGGTTGTCTATTCGCAGGCCAATTAAGTCACTGAAGTCGAATCAAACGGAATGAGAAAAGAGGAGGATAGGAAAAAAAAAAAAGAGCTCGATAGATGGAAAAGAGGAACAAAAAAACAAAGCAGGGGAGGGTTTGCGGGCTCGGTGTGAACTAGTAGGGGAGCGAGACTCAAGCCGTGGTCACCGGCGATTCGTAAGCAGAGCACGTACAGACTGAGCCGAGCTCACCCCTCTGGCTACACACGCACGCACACACGCACACGCACGCACACGCACATGCACACACACACACACACACACACTCTCAATCACACCAGCAGTCTGGAAAAGCCTGACCCACACATATTGAGCTCTATGTCCAATCCTACTGCCGTTCAAATGTCACCGCCAGCACCTTTGACCCCAAACAACACACACACACACACACACACACACACACACACACACACTCTCTACAGTTGAAAACAATACAGCATGCCCACACATTGAAGAGCTTTAAAACTAAAAACAGGCTGTAACAGTGAAAAAGTGTGTTTTGTCAGATAAGGAGGTGACACACACTCACCTCTTAGTGGGACCCGGAGCTCCGCTAGCGCCGTGGTGTAGAAATGACCGGCTGCGCCCCCCGGTGCTCGAGCGGACACATGCACATGCAGTAGTGGTGCGAGAGGTGTGTGTGTGTGCGTGCGTGAGGACAATGAGACTGGACTGGATCAGCTTAGTAGCAGTAGGAGGAGGAGGAGGAGGAGGAGGAGGGAGGGAGGGAGATGTGTGGTTGGGCGGGAAGGTGGAGAGGAGAAAGAGAGAGAGAGATAGAGAGAGAGAGACTGGGTGAATAATAAAATACAGCAGAAGAAGAAAAGAAAAAGAAGAAAAAGGTGAAAAGGGTCCCACTGAAGCAGAGTCCCCTCTTGTTCCATTTGTGTGTATGTGTGTTTGTGTGTGTATGCATGTGTGTGTGTGTGTGTAGGCTGTGGAGGGTCTCCTGTTCGTCACTTGGGACTTGGCGCTCTGCCCTCGGAGCAGAAAAGTGTAGCGAGAGCGGCTTTCATTTCTCCTCTCAGTGTCGATGTGCGTGTCAAGCAGCCAGCCTGTAGCATTACAACGCAACCTCATGTCTTCTCGTCTCAGACGCTCCTCGAGCCTCCTCTTCGTCCTCTTCATCTCTGTCTCTCTCTCTCTCCAGGGAAATACCTCTGCCACTAATCTCTTCAAAGGTCTCTCAACCAGTCAAGCTACTCTCTCTCTCTCTCTCTCTCTCTCTCTCTCTCTCTCTCTCTCTCTCTTTCAGTTTCCTCCCGCTCAGCTCTGCACTGTGAGGACAAAGTCTCGCCTTGTCAAATCATTTTTTTGTCCATAATTGAGTCCTAAAATCTTATTTCAGTGCAAAAAGTCATTACAATTTTCAAATAGAAAGGATCTTGTTCAGAGAGTTTTCTCAAAGTTTGTGTCCGTGACTTTACAAGGACGAAGAAAAGAGCTGGCTATAAAATAAAAAAGTATACTTGATTTCAGATAAAAAGACAGATAATAATAACTCTCAAGTATTTGTTGTGTATTTAAAGTTCAATTCCTCTGTGCCATAGAGCTCCATTGTTGCCCAAAAACTATTACAAAGACTATTACATGTTCCTTCATTGCTTATCTTGACTAAATCCCACATACACCTGCGAATACTGTAAAAACTCACCAGGGGCATCAAATGTGCATTCATCCGCGACTGAAAATAGTCCCTGATAAAAGCATTCTTTACTCCCGGTTTGAATGCTTTTGCTACAAACTACAGTGCCCAGCTGTTTAAGTACATACTATAGCCTTTGTTAAAAATGAATATGAAAATGTACGTCATTGTCTCGGTCTAGAAGAGCCACGGGCGGTGAAGATGTTGGAGGGTGCTGAAACATATTGTTGGTTTTGGTCTTTTCATGGGATTCAATGAGAATAACCAAAAACAACATACAATAACACCAGCCTTATCCTTTAAAGACGACACAAAAATTCTGCAAAGAAGGAGATTCACACGCACACATTCCGGCATTCACTCACAATCATACACACACACACACACACACACACACCCTGAGCTCCAGGTGTATGTATGCGCGTAATTGTGTGTGTGAAGTGCCGTGCAGCCTCAATCCTCCGGCTCAGCCACGGAGAAGCCAAACTCCACATCCAATTATTTGCTTCTCAAAGGCAGACAGATGGAGCAAGGGAAAAAAAAAAAACAGAGAGCGTGGTAGAGAGACTTAGAGAGAGAGAGAGAGGCTCTTTGAGGGACTGCATAGGGGGGAATTAATTAGAATGAAAAAGAAAAAAGGAGAGAAGAGACTCGTCTCCGCTCGAGTTCGGAGAATAGTTTCGCAATTAGTCAAAAGAACAAAAAAACAAACAGAGCCCGTGGAGACAACTCAGCAGAGAGAGTGAGCGAGCTAGAAAGTGAGTGAGAGAGACGGAGATGAAAAGCCAAATGGAGAAATGCCCAAAAGGAACAGAGGAGCTGAAGTTGTTTGATAAATGACTGTCGTGCTCTATATATATATATATATATATATATATATATATATATATTCTTTTTTTGGTTATTTTTTTTAGTTTTGTGTCAACGTACCCTTCCTGAGGCGAGCGCTGTCCGTCCTGCCTTCTCAGTCCTTGTGTTCTTCTCCCGGTCCTCCTTCACCTCCACTTTTTCTTCTCCTTCTTTTCCCTTCTTCTGCCCTCCGCTGTCCCGGGGTATTCCATCAAAGAAGAGTCGGGCTCAAGGTGGATGGATGGAACGCTGCCGCGTTTCAAGCGCACACTCCAGCTTCCGCGGTCTTCTCCTCTTCTGCTCTTTTTTTTCTCCCTTTCCTCCTCTTTCTCTCTTTATCACTTTCGTTGGCCGGGGCATTTGTCTTTTTCTTCCTGGCGGCGGTGACACACAGCGTATGGGGGGGATGGGGTGAGGATGAGAACAAGGAAGGGTGGAGAGAAAGACAGAGAGAGCAAAAAAAGCAAAAAACAAAAAAAGGAGGGAAACGAGCAAGCGTAGGTAGATGGAGCGGAGAGCGGGGAATGACAGCGAGAGGCAGGTGGAATGGGTAGTGACACATAGCGGAGGTGTGTGTTTCAGCGTGAGTGCAAGTGTGTCAGAGCACGGGGGCCGTCCTTCCAGCTGACACACCACCAACGAGTAAGAGGTGGAGGAGGAATGGGTGGAAGGATGGATGGAGGGAGCGATACAGCAGGAGCGCCACCTCCTCCCTTGCACACACACACACACACACATTTGCATAGTTCATTATCATTCACTGCATCTCGCCACGACACGCATGGCTAACCTACTCACGGAGCCGAACCCTCAACTGAATCCTAATGGAGGAGAGGGAGGGAGGGAGAGAGGAGGAGGGGAGGGTGTATCGGGCGAGCAGGTGTCCCCTCTACGTCTATTGTTCCCTGTCAGTGTGTGTCTATATGTGCATGAGAGTGTGTTCGGGTCCTTCCAGCGTGTGCGCATGCTCACAAGTAGGAGCTTTTTTCTTGTGGTAAAGTAGCTGAATAAACACTCGCTGTTCCAGACACAAGCTCCACTTCTATTCTCAAGCTACATTTTTCAAAATGAACCCAAGGATTTAGTGTTTCCCTGAGAGACCCCCCCGCCCCAGGACAGAATCTAGACCAGCATGAATACATTTTTTAATAATTCCAATATGAGTCAGACACTTTTCCGAAATTCAAATGAGGCAAATCCACACGCATTACAGTGTTGTACAGTTCTCATTCCTAACTCGCCAGACACTGACGTTTGGTCGGGGCATCAGCAGTCGACACACAGAGACCGCTGTATGCGACGTAGCAGCCGTTAACGGCCGGTAAGAGCACGTGATGTTGTATAAAGTGCGTGAAGTCTGCTTAGGGCGGGCGGGATGGGTTAAACAAACACGGGACTTCTGTCCAGGAGACTGGTGTTACTAAGTGGTTTTATTTCCTAAACCCTAATGTCCTGTGATGGCACAAGTTTTATTTTGAAAGGACACTATGCATTTAATGAGAGTATACTGACAAGCCATCATGACACAGTGAAAACTGATGCCAGCAGCCCCGATGGCCAAGGTGCACTGAGCAAGTGGCTTGAGAGAGTGAGAGTGATGATGTGTTGTTTTAGCGAATAAATCACATATCTTCACTCCGTTGGTCCGATTAACAAGATTACATACATTGCCGAAAAGCACCAAGTAGTTAGAATTAATCAATTGGGTTCGAAAGTCAATTTTTGATTTTGATTTCCTACAAAACGTGGTGTTTGTTGTCAAATCTAAGAGCCAATTAGCTCTTTGATCCGGCGACAGCCAGGCGTTTTCCATCATGCCCTGGGTCATGCAGTCGGTGGAGAACAACTGTGGCAACTGGCTCTAAAGTCTGCGGCTGCCTCGATTCAGGTATTGTTCTCGGGTGAGGTAAAATGGCCAGATGGTTTGGTCAGGTGTAAGCAGTTCTGCGGGCGTTGTACGAGACTGTTGTGGTGAAGAGGGAGCTGAGCCGGAAGGCTCTCGATTTACCAGTCCATCAACTGGTAGGAGGGGTAGAACCAGAGAACGCTGGAGAGATTATTAACGCCTCAGGGTTCCCTAGGAAGAGAGGAACGTCTCAAATACCCTCATAAGGCTGCTGCCCCTGCAACCTGCAGTCCCGGATAAGCAAAAGACGATGGATGGATGGATGATTGGACGTTATTTCAGTCATGGAATTAAAGTAAAATATGTCAACGATGACCTTTGTTTTCCCATGGGAAAGGAACAGCAGTCTGCTGGTGGAAGTCCTGCATTTGTTTGACCCACATATCCACCCAGAGCTTCTCCCTATGCGGACTTCTGCAGACTATGATTAGAAACATATTTGTGACATGTCATTTACAATGCATTTTCGACAGTTGGTACAAACAATCTATCCCTGTAACTACAGTTAACTATGTAGAGGACAATCAAATCATGTAATTTTGCTCTATGGGTCCACTTTAATAAGATTACATAGCTGGCAGGCAAGCATCAATTAGGTAGGATTAATCAATTTTAGTGCCAAAATGTGCTCTCTAAGCACACGCTAAGCACCCATTTAAGGCTGTAAGTGTGGCTAAGCTGTTAATGGTTATGATCACTTTCAGCTGTTCACCTTTTCTTGACAGGCTTACTGAGTACGCAAAGTTTCCCTCTTTGCTCCGCTGTGTGAAGAAACTCCCAGTGGCTTGCTCAGTGCAGCATGTGTACGCACACTTGTGATGCTGCTGTGACAAGTAACAGCTAAAGGCAAGTACAAGTAACTTGCAATTACAGTAGGGCTTCAAGATAAACAAGTCTGCCTTCATCACGTACTCATGAAATTCCTCATGGTGTTTGACAGCTCCACAGCAAAGAGTAATGTAATAAAAAAAGTTGTTTATTAGCTTGACATTCATTCCATTATTGCTGTACATGTTCTAAATTGCTAGGAATTTGTAGATTCATGCAAACTAAGGCGGTAATCTATGTCCATGTTATTTGCTTCAATGTAACAGGGTTCAGTTTTTGTGTTGTTACTTACAGTGACCCCTATTCTCTGCTGCTGCTGCAACAATTATGTTTGCCCACACAGGCATGTAATCAAGTGAAATGAGTTCCTTTTAAAGCATTTAAAGTCTCCAAGTCCTCAATCTAATGAGCCCTTATCCAAGTGAAATAAAGCCAATGAATCTTGTTACATTCCACTGGCAGCATACAATATACAGGTTCAAGATACAATATGTTACATCATAAAGGCCTTTACAAAGCGGGGACGGGTTCTTTTAGTGCGATCAATTCGCCCGTCAATATATTTTTTTCCGATCTGTTGTTTTTGTACGCGGCATCATTTTTTCCGGAGTGAGGTCTTGTTTTTTTCCGCACCGCAAATAAAGGCATCATCCAATCACTTTGTGTGTTCACCATGTTGTGCAAGAACACGGACACTGTGTAGTTCGAACCAGAGCGTGACACCATGACAAAGGCAGCGCAGACCAAATCCACTCCTTACATTCTTACCTTTCACAATAAAAGCCCTACACTTATACACTGAGTAACAGCTCACTAGTGGGAACCCACATGGCTCTTTTTTAACCTGGCTAGATTGCCAATGCAACCTATGCAGCTGACTAAAGCTGGTCGAGACCAGTTCGTTTAAAGTAATGTATTGTCATTCTGTTGTCAAAAGTCAAATTTATGAGCGACACAGATTCCCAGCTGAGGGAATACCTTAATTATGCAAACTTGTTTCACCATAACGCTACTACTTGCTTTGCCAAAATTGTTTTGGACCAGTTATTAAACAAAAGCTAATAATATCAGATACAATTAATAAACAAGGCCTATAACAGTTTCCCACCATTGTGTTCAGCAAAAATGTCACTCAATAGTAAAAAGAAGAACCTGCGGGACATGAAGTCCTGTTGTTGTATTGCAGTGTCAATAGAAAATATCATGAGCATGTGTATTACCTAATAATGTGAAGTATTCCAGTGCAGTGTTTTTTATAAAGGTATGGTTCGTGTTATGTCGCTGCCCCACTCTCTGATCAATGGGTAAAAAATAAAAGCTACATCTCGTAATAGTTCTTGTCCATGGTTTCGACCAAGATGGAGCTGACATTTATATTGTGATCGTTCCCTTTTTGCCACTTCTTTGTTTACCCACTCTCTGCACTTTTACAGTTTGTACTGTTCTGAATGTAGTTTCCCTGCCTGTAAAATCCTGCTCTAAAGTTTCTCCTTTTCTTAATGAGGCTTTGGTGGGTGGTTTTCCCTTGTTCTCATTGTGGGTTTAGGGCTGTGGGGTGCCGTTTTCATTTACTGTTTCATTATGTAGGCGTTACAAAGCCTCCTGAGATTCCACCAGTTAGTAAGAGCTGTATGAATATGCTTCACTTCTTCCAGTGCTAACATGACTGAAAGCTTTCAGTTTCTGGCTACAGACGATGGTGGAGTTAAAGGCCCCTAAAAAACACTTAACATTTTTATTTGTTATGTGTTAAGTCAACCCGTCAAATACAGTCGCTTGGTCAGTTCCCCTTGGTGTCTGATGCCGAGGAACCGTAGTTGAACCGTTTTCAACTAATGTAAACCCAACCGATGATGGTCAGAGCAACTGGTGAAGTATAAAAAGCGAGAAAGTCTGCTTAGGTCAGGGTGGATGTTTGGGTCAAATAAACACACTTTCTTTTTCCTCAGGGAAACCCCAGGAGACCGGTGTTCTTGTGCCGACTTAAACTAAGTCAATGTTGACTAACTACTTTCGTTATGCAAGTTGCATACTAACATTGTGTATGCAAGTTAAAAAACATACTTATTCTACGTAACAAACTTATTTTAACTCAAAACACAATTTTTCATAAACCTACCCATGTAGTTTTGTTTATCTGTGTCATTATTAGACAATTAAAGCAACTGACATTGTGCAAAAAGCCAGAGAATCTGCATTGGGCGGGTGTGGTTGGACGGGTGATACAAACACAGGACTTTCACCCAGGAGACCGCAAGTCCTGTCCCGACCAGGTCAACATTGACTTACTTTACCGTGATTCTGTTACGTAACTTCCGTCATTTGCAAACGCCAGTGATGTAACAAACATACTTATTTTTACCCAAACCATTTTTTTACCCTAAACTTTTGTACTTTAGTTGTGTAAATAAACCTAAAAACGTAGTAAACCTATTGTCTGATTTTGAAAAGACGCTGAGCATGTAACGAGCGGGAACTGACCCGTCGCCCCTGACACGACCAAGCCGGTATTTGACGAGTTTGGAGTGAGAATGTGTTGGTAAGCAGAAGCGTGAGATGAAAGAACAAGTAGCAACATGTCTCGTTAAGCTTTTGCTGTCAGTTTTACATTTTCATCATCCTCTCTGCTCACCATTAGTCTTATTCTTATCTTCTCTCGGGTTCTCAGCCGATAACCCCACAGGGGTCGTTTAAGACTCATCTTGTCTGACTTACCTGAATCTGCAGTCCGGGTCAAGGAAACAAGCCAGCCGCCCACTTTAACTGTTGCCATCTTTTCTCATCTCGTGACACCTTAGTGACACCCGGGGTGGCCATCAGTGTCGCCTTCACCAACGTCTCCCTTTCCATCACGCTTTCAATCGCAATCGTCAAATTTTCTGCTGGTATGCCGCGTCCAGAGTGGAGGTATGAGAGCTGTCAAGTGCGACACCGGGGGGGGGAGGGGGTGCGTCACATAATGCCCAGGCGCACGCTATTTCCTCAGTGTACGGCCTGCAATTCATTTTATAAATGTCAGACGAAGCTTGGCAAGCCATCTAACCCAGCCACCCCACCTCCCCCCTCCCACAGTCTGATGGGTAATATTCTTATGAGAGATCATTTTGATTGGCTTCCGCTGCCCTTTTCATTGTCTGAGCGAT